GGTAGGGGGTAGGGGGGTAGGGGGAAAGGGATGAACTTGGAGGTTTATGAAGGAGTGATGGATAGGGTTATTATTATTATGTAGATCTAGAGGGAACGAATGTAGGGGATTAATCACTATGCATGGTAAATCATGAGGCTGGCTGAGCGAGTTTGAAGCGGCTGAATTCTCTCAATAATTGTTGTGGCTTGCATGTACAGTTCTTGTACAACCATACAACCTGGCCCATCGCTACCGGGATCTGGGTAGAAACCAATACTGTATCCTAGGATCAATCTTTCAGGTCCCCGGCCTTTTTTATTTTACTTTGAATTCCTCCATCGATACGAGTATTAGTAAGGATATCCTGAGTTCTCTCCGAACGAGGTCTTTTTAAGCACTGCAAGGAAACCTTGATGTGTCTATAAGAGCAGGGTAGTATAGTAGCGCCCGACTTCACTAAACATGGAATTATCCTTGGCGAGACACGGGCTGCGGATTTGAAGGAGAAATACCCACGGATGCCACTCCGCTTGTTATTTCGTGGTATATGCGCCGAAGATAAGGATTAATGGCGGATCTAGAGATTTCTGATCAAGATACGGATTCCATGTCTTCTCATGGGGTAAATAGATAATGATTTGAGAGATCATTATTGCGATACGATACATAAACAGATCTTCGCTAGATCAGCGAACGACCTGTCTTTCCAGTAGACACCTACCTATTATTTCCATATCCAAAAACAAAACATCCATCACCATCATCCCCTCCTTCCCTCCCAAAACAGCCAAAACATCCGAAAAAAACGACAAAACCTTTAGGTCCTCCCCCAGTGGCCGTGGAACAGGACCTCAGGAGAACCCCCCTCTCCATCAGGGATTTTTCTTCTTCCATAGTTCAACAATTTGAAGTTGGGCAGAGGAAACAGCTATGAGGGTGAGGCGACGATGGAGAAACACCCTCTTACTGACTGGACCAGGTGGCAGAAGCCCAGTTTTGATGGAGGAGTGGTGTTGTTTAAAGATGTGAATACTGTTTTGCGGGTTGTGTGGGGGCTTGGGGGAACTTTGGGGGGTTCGGGGGATGAGTTGATAGGTAGGTTCTTTGCTGGTTGGTCGCATATGTACAGTACGTATTGTCGTGAAGGTAGACCTCGTTCCCATCGAAGCCGAAGACTTGGGGTGGAGGAACGCTACTCGCCAGAAGCTCATGCACTACATCTTTGTGCATCTTACTATCCTTCCTCTACAGTACTCGAAGCTCTCAACGACCTCATGGACCTCATGGACCAGCTTTCGACTACTAGTTTCCCATTCTTCACTCCCTGTCATCTCGGAGAAAGCGGGTGTAAGAAGCTATCAGACCTCCATCGTGATATATTCCATAGCGAGGGAAAGTGCTTGAATCACTAATAAGAGTTCCCAGTCCTTCCGTGAAGCTATTTCTCTAAGATAGCGAGAGGTCCCGTGTGTAGAGGAGGTCAAATCCGAAGCAATGAGGAAAGACATAGTCGGGGATGATATCCATGATCATACAAGAGAAAAGAGGACGCACGTCTACCCCTCCCCCTCTATTCTTTCATTCTACCATTCCTGCATTCTTACAACTCTTCTCGATCTTTCCAACAAACATCGCATCCAATAACTTGATACCGCCTCAAAAACAGAACAGGCTAAGAGCTCTTCAGCGGAGTGCGTAGATCTGCATCCATCGTTTGAATTCCGAGTCTAGCATGGCGAACTGGTGCTGATGGGATGCGTATTGCCCTCTTTGAACTTTGACGGTGCTAAGAGGAAAAATGGACTTCAGTGTAGTGAGGATCATCAATGCGGACTTCTTAGGAGATTCCGATATTCGTATTATTGGGGGTTTGGAACCCGATAGGGGCTTTCTTTGTATTTAAGAAGTGTATACACATACTCACCATATTGTTCCTGGGAATTCTTCATCTGTCATGGAAACCTCGCTTTCTGGATTAAGTTTTCATTTCCCCCAGGGAAACAAGAAAACACACCTTCTTAATGCTCTGATACTACCTATGAGCCTTCTCGGATTTCGAGTATTGAAAATATATATACTTTTCTCATTCCCAATACACACAATCACCAACACCTCAAATCAAAACAACATCTCACAACTAAAAAATCTTATTATTAATTTCTGCGTCCCAAAATCTACCCCCATCCTATCCCCATCCTATCCCCATCCCATCCCACTCCCACAGCCCCCTACCCCCCTCTCCACCCCTCACCCACTACAAAACAGCCAACCCCCCCAACACCGCCCCAACACCCGCCAAGATACCCATCCTTCCGACCGCCGTCTCCGCCGCCGCCGCCTTACTCCTCGTCGAGGTCGGCGACGCACCCGCGGTAGTCGCAGCCGTAGCGGTAGGCAGGATATTCGAGAAGCCGTTCTTGGTGAGGATATCGTTCTCGGCGCTTGCGACGGAGGCGAAGACGGAGCGGAGGCCGCTGGGGAGGCCGTTGAGGTAGTCGGATGGGACGGCGGATTGTTTGGCTGCTGGGGGGGTGTTAGATGGTTTGTGTGGAGGTGAGAGGAGGGAGGTGAGAGGAAAGGCGAAGGGGAGGGGAAAAGGGAAGGGGAGGGGAAAAGGGAAGAAAAAGGGAGAGAGGTGTACCAGCAGCGGTGATGGAAGCTTGCCATTCTTGGACGCTCTTTAATGCTGCAGAGTCGGTTGCGACTGCTGAGATGGCGGATCCGACGGCGGGATCGGTGATGATTGCCTTGAGGTAGTCTTCGAGTTGTTTCTTGACGTCGGCACTTTGTCTATGGATCCATTAGTTTCTCCCTCCAGGAAAGCAAGACGTGAGAAAGGGGGATCATACTGAGGAGTCTGTGGCGTGGCCAGTGCAAGTGACGAGAGAAGGCCGATGGCCGTGAAGAGTGTTGCGACGCGCATTTTGAGGGTTCTTTTGTTTTTGTTTGACGTACGTGAAATGTTGAACTCGAAGTCGAGAAATATGAAAAAGAGGATGGAAATTTTCAGGTGGTGAATAGAGACTTGAAAGGAGAGAGTGATTTGACAGGCGACAAGGAAAAAGTGAGGCTACTTGTAGACGAAGTATGTGAATCAAATAGTAAACATAGCAACCAAAGCACAGCAACGAGACGTGAATAAGAATGGGGTGGATGATCGGATGTCTTATATCCTCTTTTCGGAGGTCTCTCAAGTGGAGTGTCCACGAGGAATGTAGGTAATCTTCACGATCTGACTTCGCCTGGACTAGATCCCCTCGCCTCTCTTCAGGAACCATAATGAAATGAGTTTTAATGTTGTATGTTGTTGGATTTGGTTGGGGATGCCCAGCTTGCTTCACTTAAATTTCAAATAGTTGATGGCTTTAGAATTTGTAGTTAAAAAGGGGCTGGGCAGAAGTAGCATTGTTCTGATGTCCTACGTAAAAGAACACTGGTTGGCAAGGCAGAGTAAAGGATCTTCTTGTGCCACTCCCAACATAAGCATAGCTAACACCAACTGATTAGCGTTCGAGAACCTGATGAGATATCTTTCTTATTTTTGTGGCTCATAGTAGTAGAGGAATAGGATTTCCTAGGAGGGATAAATTACCAAGCTCCTTCCTAAAAGGTACAAATCTATTTCAAGTATAATGCAGGGAATATACGAATTGTCGAATCGTTTTAAGATATACATGAAAACCCCAGATTCCTGGGAGATGCGGAAGAGGGGCACAGTACTGAGCCATCTGGGATTTTGTATCGCGGCTCCATATCTGAATTGTGAAGTCTTGGAATAATTCAGAATCGCACAATCCCAAATTCGATAAGCTTCTATTGAGAAAGAAGCCTAGAATAGACAAAGTCATGGATTGTTTCTTGAGTAGGGCATACATAAAAAGATACTCAGCCCGATCTGAAATGCTGCTTGTTTGTAGTATTTTGTGATCAGGATTCTCTGATACAATTCTGGGCACCCTACCTCTATTCGATTTAGTACTATGGTTCCTCCATGAGTACTGATCGTCTCAAATGGTGGCTCAACCCCGTATATCGCCATAAGTGATAAATTTATGGTGGTAGAAGCTGGATCAAACCTTTTTTCCAGCTCTCAACAGGTCGGAAACCTTGGGAGGAAGCACGAGTGCACTTCGGTCGTTTCTCTTGTAGAAATCAACAATTACCATAGCGGTCTTTTCAGGCAGGTCCTCATGTACGAAATGACCAGCTTCGGGAAACACTTGTAACGAATACTTGCCTAATTGCTTGTCAATCTTTACCTATATCAGACCAGAAAGAGGGGTTCTTGTTACCTTGCATTTGACCAATCGTAAGTTCCGTATCCAATCGGTCTGTTCCTGCAAGTAAGAGTAACTTTCCTCCACGTGCTTCAAGGAACTTTTTGCTAAGACCATTAAACCAACCTTCCCAGAACGGTTGAGTTCCAGCAAGGTCCGTTTTCCATGTCCATGGTTTGGCTCCCGCCATTTCGTTGTGTACCAACAATGGAGGAACACTTGTTCGAGCTGAAAGAGAATTTCTGATTGTTCTCGTTCGAATATGCCACTCTATCCCAGATTCCAACGATGGAAATCCCAATGGTCGGGTAGATAGGTAGGTTTGCATGCTTTGGAGTGCATCCATGGCCGATCCTTCTACAACATCAAGGACAGCATATCCAAGAATGGAGCTTCCCAACTTGCCTCCTTTTGCAACATCTGTAATTACGGCACCACCAAGTGAGTGGCCAATAAGTATCAGAGGAGGCAATGTATCCCATCCCATTTGTATCTTGGCCTTCTCGATCACCACCAAGAAATCGGCACTCAAAGTGTCGAGACTGAGGTCCAGTATGTTTGGATCTGGATTGATGGTTGTAGAGCCATGTCCCCTCGCGTCAAGGGAAAGTACACCAGCAGACGGTAGGCGCTTCCGTATCTCGGCCGTTAACAGGGCAAACGAAAGACCTGATGAACCTGCACCATGATGTGTAACAAATAACGGTGCTGTACCGACTGGGGATGTAAGGTATGCATGATGGATAATCGTGATATTATCAACGGTAGATTCGAGGAAGAGCTCGCGCTCAAAGTACGTGGTCCAGGGGACTTGATTGAGGGTTCTTTTATTTGGGGATCTGAGAGCGACATGTGTTAGTTAGCTGGGCACGAATGGCTTTAGGAGAACACACCCTTGTGGTCGCGCGAACAATGTTTGGTCAGATGAAGGAATTACTGTGCCAGTTGATGACGCAGAAGATGCTGAAGAGGAGTCGTCATCCGGTGCAGGTGCATGACCAAGACCTAGACCTGTGTCAAAATGATCTGTTTCCTCCTCGTCTGCTTCATCGAACAGTACAGGAGCGGTCGCTGGAAAGCCAGCCAGCTTCGCCCGTGCAAATTGCCTCTGTAGGTCACTCATGGCGAGCGCGAGCCAACTCGATCCCTAAGAAGTGGTACTACCTATGCCAGGCAATCCGATGGATGTGGAGCTTGGAGCTCGGGACTTGGGCGTTGTTGTACAGTACCTGCTGGTATGGAAATTAATGGTATTGTATCACCCACGCCGTGTATCTTGTGGTTGATCAGATATAGCTATTTTCAGTGTTCCTTTCTGAGCCGCGTTGCGTTGCACTGCTTCTTGTGTGGTTGAAGGAGGAGGGGAGAACATTCACAGAAATGCAGGTGGAAGATGCGATGCGCGGTGCTGCCCCTCGGTTAGATTAAGATAAGGAATAAGCTTTTAGGAGGGGCTAGGGATAGGCACCTGCACGCGAGGCACGCTAGCAAGGGGTTCGCTTAGGTCATCATCTCAAGATGGCATTTCCTTCTACGAAGCTGATGGAAGTACTCTGGTCTGGGAAAGACCTCCCTGTCTCCAATTACAGGAAGCGATGCAAACACCAGCACAGCACCTTTATGGTGATCACATAAGATCCAACGCGGTCAGATGAACATTTTCGCGGTCATCTAACATACTTTAGGCGGTTGCAGCGCTTCCCTCTCTTGTGCTACGAGCTGTTTGTCTCCGGCCTGAGGTTTGGTCGTATGAGGAACCCAAATTAATACCTATGCACTCGAAAAAGCGAACTTTTGGTTGATGTCAGTCTGTCAGAACAGATGAGAAAGCTGGAGCATACGGAGATACGATATCAAACATCCATTGGTCCTATACATTTGGGTGTCACGAGCAATGAGTTCCCAACTAGGCTGTGTATTGACTGTGGCGTCTCAACCCGGCCAGCTGAAAAAACACAACAGAAGAGATGGAAACGAACATTGCACCTCGTCCCAAGGCTTCATTGACGTCAACAAACCTTTTCAAGCTTTATAAAAACATCACAATTGTTCGGCTATTATTCTTGAGGAGATGGAAACTGCTCAAAAACAATCAAACACGATATTCAGTGGGGTCGGTTCTATGACTGGGGGCACAGTTGATGACCAAGGCAACAGGATCCCAGAGTTTCATTCCGAGCAACCTCTGAACTTGAACCAAACAGGATTTGTTGATGCGAACCTATTATCGCGAATCGTTGAATCCTCCAGCTCGGAGCCATGTATCCATACTACAGAGCCCGAAATCTGGCGCTACTCGGCTGGGAATGGCCGGGATTTTCTGCCCAAACCAAAAGCATGGTCTTTTCACGATGATGTCTCGGCACCTATATCAAGCGGGGAGCCTTCATCGACAAAGTTACAGAGGCTCGAGAGGGATGACTCCCCTCCACCTCCACCTCCTTTGCCACCTCAAAGCCCTGGTTTTGACGGCGAATTCGATGAAAATGGTGAAATCTCCTACGCAGAAGATGACTTTTTTTCTCCAAGGGGCCGCCGTTCCTCAGAGAACCAGCCAGAGAGGAAAGTAACAGTAGCACGAAGCATTGGTAACGATAGCGATGATGACCCCGCTGGTGGTTTCTTTCCTTCCCGCCAGGGCTCTACTTCATCAAGGAAAGTTTCTATATCACGAAGCGTTGGAAATGATCCTGAAGTTGATGGCGAACTTTTTCTGCCTTCCCTTTCCTGGAAAGTTGCCAATGTGATGAAATACATAAAAAGGGAACGTTCACGAACTCGGCCTCGTTTAGGCTTGGGGACAATTCTTCGTATGAGGTCTTGTGAAGCTCTATTTGCCGGCCCACCAAAAGGTCAAACTCTCCCAATTGTTATTGGTGAGTATACCAAAATTCCTGATTGACCATACTCTCGCCCTCGAGGGGACACTCGACTTATTTAGAATTTATCTGCTGACTTCATTCGTATAGATAATTACAAGTACGAGTCGCTAGATCCTTCGGCAAATCAAATCAGACTTATCAGACTTGAGCCGAAATGTAGCAGTGGGATAACGGCTAGCCTATTTATCGCTTCTCTGAACGATGCACCCAAATATGAAGCATTATCATACACCTGGGGGAATTCGCACCTTCATTCTTCAATACAAGTCGACAACAGTCCGTTTCATGTAACCCAGAATCTAGGGACGGCTTTAGAGAACCTTATGGGTAGCGAAGTGCGGGTTCTCTGGATAGACGCGATATGTATCAACCAGAAAGATGATAAGGAACGAAGTGATCAAGTCTCCAAAATGCGAACTATTTACGCACAGGCAAGTGCGGTTGTCGTTTGGCTTGGGAATCATTCACAACATAGCACTTTGGCAGTTTCTCTTCTACAAGAAATGGACGCAAAATTAAACGACAAGTGGCATATGAAGCGACTTCTTGGCTCTACGAAGAATCTCAACGCCCTTCAAGGCCTATCCAAAGTCTTGAATCGCGAATACTGGTGGCGAATCTGGGTAATCCAAGAAGTACACTTTGCACCCCAAATAACAATCCACTGTGGAGACTCTAGTATCTCATGGGCGAAGTTGATTCGGATACAAGAACAACTAAGTACCAAGTACAGTCAAGCCATACACGATCTCTCTGCCCTTCACTCCTCTCTACGACATTTGTACACAGCCGTGAAATTCAGAGGCCCGACCTCCCTGATAGTCAACCGCTCGTCTTTGTCTAATCCTAAGACCTCTCTAGTCCCAACTCTCTTCGAAGCATTGCTCATGCACCGCCTCAAACACTCCACCGACCCACGCGACAAAATATACGCTCTCGTCGGCCTAACAACCGCTCGCTCAGATCCGAATTTCCAAATCGATTACTCCCATTCAGTTCGACAGGTCTATATCGACACAGCATCATATATCCTCACTACCTCCAAAACCCTAGATTTCCTTTGCGCCAAAACGAAAGGCGATGAGTTTCCCCAAGATCTCCCATCCTGGTGTCCAAACTGGGCGTCTACCGGAGCAAACTGCCCCATCCCTTTCCGTCACGCAACACGAATTGGAACATACGCCGCATCCCAGAACCTACCCCCGCGGGCCTCAATCAACAAAACCACCGGAACCTTAACAACAAAAGGCCTCCACATTCGTTCACTCACCCACATAAGCCCCCCCTCCCCCATGAAAACAATCAACGATACCCAAGGAGCCATCCAAACAGTGCATATCTTTTTCCAATTCCTCAACTCCCTAAACCTACAGAACCCATCACCTACCACTCACCCCCACCTCCCCCACCACCTCCAATTCCTCACTCTCCTCCTAGGCCCCACACCCCTCCATGACGATCACGAACTTGAGCCGCTACTCCAACACCTATCCGAATACCAGGACCTCATAGACTACTGGGTCATCCCTCCCCCTTTACCCGCAGACCTCACCCATCTATCCCAAGTCTTCGAGCAAACCTTCTTCAAGCGGAGACTATTCGTCACGGAACGGGGAGAAATGGGGTTATGCGAGGAAGGAGGGAGTGTGGGCGATGGGGTATGTATTCTTTTTGGGTGTTTCTTGCCGGTTCTTTTGCGATGGGTGGGTGGGGAGGCTGGGGATGAGGTGGGTAGGGATGGTAGTAATAGAATTGACGGAATAAACAACACAGAGGAAAAAGTCCTCGAGAGCAAGAAATGTCACTTCATAAGCGACGTTCTATTAGGCGGGTTTATGCACGGCAGGGCAATTAAAGAATTTGAATCTGGTAGAGGTGGGTATTCGGAGGAGACGTTTGTTCTAGGTGGTTAGAACTTAGGATGGTTTATCCCATGGTAGGGAAGAGGATGGATGAAGTACTTGTACTCGAATATAATCTGTTTTTATTTCTTTTCGGTTCTTTTCGGTTATGATATACCTACCTCCCTTTTACTCTACCGCTCTTTGCAACTTTTAATCCCATGACTACTATCTATCCATATATCTCACTTACCTCACTTGACCCAACACATCTCAACTCACCAACAGACACACCAACATACTTCCTAACAAAATCAAAATCAAAACGACACATCACAAATCACATCACAACACCAAAGCACCCACACCCCAAGAATCAACAATACGAATGCATAACGAACGAAATATATACCTCCCTGTCCCTACTCTACTCTACCACACACAATCCCCACCACAACCACAAAAAAAGAACGATACACCACCCTAAACCCCACCAAAAAAACACCACGCTAAAAGAACAAACAAAAACAAAACCAACGAATGTCCACCACCCCCTAAACCCCCAACCACACCCATCACTCCCCATCCCCACACACACACCTCACAAAGTACTCCCCCACTTCCCCCTCTTCTGCCTCATCTCACCCTCCGTCAAAGTTCCCAACCCACTCGCAGCACGCACCGTATGAAAGATAGCCTTGGGGAGTTGCAGCGACGGGATGCGGGGTGCTCGTACCGAGCGTTTTGATTCCATCAGGGGAATGGAAGCAGTTGCACGTTTATTAACCTTCAACTGTATCAATCAGTATTCCTTTCATTCGCCAACATGAAAAACGACAATGAATGGTACGATACATACCTCACTACCACGCTTACTGGAAATCCACTTTCTCGCCCAGCCTTCTTGATCACTTGCCCCATCCATACCCATAGGAGTAGGAGGAATCTGAGTCATCTGCGCCTCTTCATCATGGGGTCTTGTCGTTGCCCCTAGTAGAGGTTGTGATGTCGCTTTGGTAGGCGTTAACGGCTCATCGGTTTCATCGGGAATCAAGTGACGAGGATGGTAACAAGCGGCGCAGCATTTGAGAATGAGTAACAACAAGAGTACCGAGATTATCGAAAACAAAATACACCAAGGACCCCATTTTGCGAAGATAACAAGATCTGACTCCTTTGGTTTGCGGCAAGCCTTGATTGTGGGATCATTCGAACTACAGTCTACTGCGACTTTGGTCTTGTTGGCTGGCTGGTTCATGTCTGGATCCATGTCCCCATTCGTCTCAAACGTTTCTTGTAAATCCGGCATGGTGAAATCATCATCTCTCTTTTCTGATTGAGATGAACTTTCTGCAAGATCTTGAATTTCCTTCGAGTGAAAAAATGGAAGAAGAATTCCGTCCGATCTCTTCTCAGCGAGTTCATGATTCATGATCTGTTTTTCTGTGGATGGGATGTCGACAAGGTGACCTCCTGTTGTTGAGCCGTACAAAAGTTCTATCGCTCTCTTAAAAAGGTCCTCTCCAGCATTGCCTTCATGAAAATTTTCAAGTCCGAGGAAAGTTTTATAGAGATTGTTCAGCTTTTGGATTTCCTCTTTCACGTCATCCCAAGTACACCCTTCTGTTTTGACACACTTCGACATGACATTTATTTCGTATTCATGTGCAGCTTTTGTCGTGAATTCGTAAAACTTTACCGTGGTTCCTTCTTTTTGAGCAAGTTTCGCTTGTTTCTCTATGTCGGTACGTATTTCTTCGATTTGTCGGTCGTTTGCTGCCTTCTGCTCAGGCGAAAGATGTCTCCTTCTCGACTGCGAGGTTTCTCGAGAGCTCAGAACGCTAGCAGATTTTCGGGCTCGGTCTCTCAGCTTTTGTTGTATCGTCGCTAGATCGTCTTCGTTGCATCCCTTGACCTCACGACATTGTTCACGAGAGCCTACATCTATCTCACGTATCCACTCCTCAACGGTTGTATCGAAAGCATTTCTCGTGGGGAATCCTAGAGTTGCAAGTCTTTGTGCAAGCTTGTCGGTGACTTTGCCAAATTGATCAATGTTCTGGTCGGCGAATGCCCAGTTCTCTGGCGGAAGGGTTCTTTTGATTAGCGGTGAGATCTCTCGAGACTCTAGGATACTGGCAGACTTTCGAGCCCGATCCCTTATCTTTTGATTAAAAGTTGCGATATCTTGCTCGGTGCAATTTAGCCATTTTGGAGTGGCGATTGCAGGTAATCGGTCACAGCTCACCATCTCTTCGGCCCTGAGCAGCCAAACTTCTACTTCTGCATTGAAGCTTTTCCTCGTAGATTCATTCACTCCTGACGCTGCGAGTGTTTGTGCAAGGGCATCCATTTCTTTCCCAAAAAGATCAACGACCTGCTCGATTCCAGCCCATACTTCCGTTGGAAGAGTTCGTTTCGTTAGCGAAGAGACGTCTCGAGAACTCAAAAAGCTAGCAGACTGCCTGAGACGGTTTCTCAATTTCAGAACTTCTGCCTCGAGCACTTTTACATTGCATGCCTTATCAAGCAGGGGACACAAAACCAGTGCATAACTCTCCGACGTCGCGAGCCAAGTTTCGACAGTTGAATTGAATATTTTTCTTGTGTCGTCGTCTGATCGTAACTTGGCGAGACGTTGTGCAAATTTGTCAGTGTCCTGCCCGAGTGGTTCAATCCAATCATCAGTTGCAGTAAGCTGTAGGGAAGGGCCGATTGCAATCCCATCGAGATAATCAAGAACAATCTGACCGATGGGATCATTTTCTCTTTTCCGAGACGTAGAGGCTTGAAGAGAGGGCATGAATCTTTTAGACTTGTTGATCCGGTCTATCATTTTTTTGGCCATCGTTTCTCCGTCTTCCACCGTACACCCCTTAGCAGCAGCGCATTTATTTCGAAATTGCATACCGTTTGTCGATATGAGCGCATCAGCTTCTTTTGCAAAAAGCTTCCAAGCCAGATTTGATGGGTACAATAGAGCGAGACTCTTTGCATAAGCATCCATTATTTTGCCCAGTGTTTCTATTTGCTGTTCGAAGTCTGCCCACAGGTCTTTGGAAACTTCTCGCTTCGACGATCGACCATTATGTGGCGAGGGAACGAGACTCTTCAGCTTTTGAAGTTTAGTTTCAATCCTGTTAGCCTCATCTTTCACGTACTTCTCGGTACAATCCGGACAAAGACGCCGCATTTCCTCGGGGGCTTTGTGGAGCATAGTTTCAACTGTTTCATCCCACTCTTTCTTTCCAACTCCCCATAGTCCCTGCTCATACAGTTTTGCGATGGGTTGCAGGTTAACGATGAAAGCGTCAAGGTGCTCTTCAAAAGCTGCCCAGCTATCACTACCCGGCGGGGTTCCAGCTCTCTCTGACAATCGATTGACGTCTCGAGAGTTGAACAATCTCGCAATAACCCCCCTCCCCTGCCCCACAAGTCCCTTCAAAGCAGCTCCACCACCTGGCATCAACATCTCAACGCCCTTCCCTTTACCACTAATTCCCAGGTCATCGACTCTTTCTTTCTGCGCCCTATACCCTTCAACGATAGAAGCATCATGACCCGAATTCAAGGACCCAATGACCATCGCTGAAGGATAAAGAACCAGAAGTGCGAAAAAGGTAAAGAAAGCCCAACGTAAAAGATTCATTTTCCGTTCCTGAGATGCGCGATGGTAGGGTGGATACCAGGGTTGATGGGGTGGGGGTCGTAAAGGTCGTTGCGTTGGGTTCGTGGGCATTGTTGGCTTGGTGGTATGGGTGTAATGATGAAAGATCGTCTTTGTTGGTGAGAATGTGGATCAACTTCGTCGTCGCACGTATACTCAATAACTAACACAGTCCGGGTACCCGTATCCGACCTCAACAACTGGTGCAAGAACTCACTTCAGCAACTAAAGCTCAAGAATCAGAGAAAGTCCCCAATATATCAAACAAAGAGACAGCTTACTGATTCGAAGAAAGGTCCTTGGATGCTACTTCGCAATGAATGATGACTTCTCTCTCACTTGTGTGCTCAAAAAATCCGAGAGAACAGAAGTCTCTGCTGTGGTCCGCTCTCTGTGAGCCCAGAAAGGAGACGGGAGAAAAGCAAGGAGCAACTCCGTGTGTGTGTTACAAGCAAGTGAAAGGATATCCCGTCGCCTTCTAAGAATGGAAATGATAATGTTGATAGAAACAATGATGGAAAACCAAGAGAAGACGCCCAGTACGATGGATGGTGGCGTTGTGGGTGGGGGGTAAGAGTGTTGAGTAGTGTTGATGAGAAAGAAAGGGAGAAAGGAAGGGGATGGAATCTGAGGGGATGGGGAGAAGTGTTGAGGGTGTTTGCATAGAAGGGAAAGAGCGACTTGGACTTATGATTGCAGTTTCGATTTTGATGCGGAGAGGGAAGGAACGATACTCGCCTAGAAAATCACCATATACACTCTATTCAAACACTGCAAGACTTGGGTAGGTAAGGAGTAAATATCTGCCTTGAATATCGTATAATCATTAAGTACCCACGAGGGTATCCAAATCCTACAACCCATGACCATTCCCCGTTTGCGGACGGCCATATCCTCCATGCACACCTTGGTTGGTGGCATTATTACCCGACTTGGCCCAATCATCCGACGACAAGGTACGCATATGTCCATACGTAGGTTGTGGTAGGTAATTTGGTGGGCTATGACTTGATCGAGTAAAGTCGTTAACGCGACCTTTCCGAAGATGCAAATCAGATAGGATGGATTCCGATTGACTTTCGAAGCTGGTCAAGAGAGCTTTGGAGTCATCCCAACGTTGTCCGAATGTTTTCAGTGTCTCTTTGATATGGGTGACACAATTAATACTCCTCTCAACGCTATCGACGCCAGTATTAGGTGGTAAAGGCGGTGGCGCTGGTGCATTGGGGGAAGTTTGGATATAAGGCAGTACACCGTTGAGAAGTAGGTCTTGGTCTTCCATAAGAACCGCAAGAAATTGGCTTCCTATGAAGTATACTCGTAGTGCATCGTGATATGTGTAAAATGCTTTGTTGATGGGATCCTTGCTTATTGGAAAGAGTTTCTGCATGTATGCAATGCAGTATTCGAAGATCAAAGTTTTCCCATAGGCGGAGACAGTCTGTGTACGACAAGATGGAGCGAGACAGTAGACGTAGCTGTAGAGAAGCTCCAGATCGAAAAATTCTTTGAATGAAAGCTTCAAAGTATCGGGAAATGACTCGGACCAATCCTTCATTTCTTGGCATATGTGCCAAATATATCTTTCTGGGTCTTGCAATGGTTCACGACTGGATTGAAATAACTCCTGATACCAACTTGACTGAACATAACGCAACTGGAATAACAGTCCAGCAGTCTCTATCGAGTGCTGTCCAGTAAGAGAGTCGCTGACAGCAGCATTGGTCTCAGGGATCCAGGGGAGGTTTACGGCCGTGGAATCGTCCGTAAACGAGAAGCATCGTGCATGGACCATACTTATCGACCTGTCTTTGTCAGCCATGATTCCTGTAGGATATGTGCCAAGAATTACCTGTCAAGAGCATAGGCGCAGTAGAATATCCTACGTCGCATATCTAATGTCACCCTGTCCGTTTGCTGCTCGCTTGGCGGGTCTTGGTGGAAGCCTAAGTCCACTACTGCACGACAAGCAAAGCCAATCAATTGCCAACTGTCAAAATGAGCCGGATCAAGCATCGAGTATTGAACAAGCAAAATTAGGGCCTGTATTTGTGCCACATAGCCCGGAACGAGGACCTTGTCGGCATATTGCAATGCTCGACTCACCCAGGTAACACCTTCAGTATAGTAGGCATCTTGGTTGCTTCTTGACTGGCTGGTATTCCCGATGGCAAGTACCATGTATAAGAGCCAGTTTTCAAAATCAGTGACAGGTCGCCCGTTTTCCTGATAAACCGCATCAAGGGCGTTAATTAGTGCCGTTTCTGAAAATGCAGGGAAGAGTGAATATATGTTGTCGAGATAGTACTGAACTAAACCCATCGCAGCGGATCTTGGTGGTAACTGAAATGCTCCTGGCTGAGGCATTGTTTCTAGGACTGTAGCTGCGAGAATCAAACGTCCAAATGTCATGTTTGTGGTAGACGACTCAAAGTCTCGAGTAGTGGCATTCACGGAGCTTCATTTGATCAGTAAAGGGGTACATCGGATATCGTTTCAACTCACAGAAATCCAAAATCCGAGACTAGTTCATTCACATCGGCGAGTTCCCTCTTTCTTGCTGCTTTGCCGTGGATTGCGGCGCGTATGGTTGCAAGTGAGTCTTTGCGATCTGGAACTGCAACAGGCAAGTCAAAATCGTGCATAGCGACTGATGCCTTTCGAGATCTCGCATATGTGAGTTTCCTTTCCAATTTTTCCACACGTGATTCAAGAGAAGCAACGTAACTAGAAGATAATTAGTCTCCTTTCGTGTTGCGAGGTTCAAGTCTACTCGAACGCACCTCCTTTCCTTTCCCTTTGCAAATTGGTCATTGGCACTTGAACATTCTAGTGCCCTGCCCGATTTCTCACAAGCAGTACATGCTGGCAATTTGCCATCACACTTTTTACTCGTCAGCTTCCAGATCGTCAGATTGGGTGAAAAGATCAAACCTTTATTTTCGCAGAGCGACCTGTGACAGGTTAGAACGTTGACTCTTATCAGAAGGATATCCACACTCACATCTTGAGCAAGCTGAAACTGGTCTTGATACCCTCAACAGAGGTGTATCTGCCAAGCTGGGTTGTGGTCGAACCATCTTTCTTTAATTCTAGTCGCGTGGCAAAAGGAGGGTTGATTGAGTAGTAGAATGTCTCTGCTTTACATTTTCTCATACAAGCACGGCGAATGATGACAGAAAGGTACCGAACGGAACTTGCTGAACGATGTTGACGGTATCTCGTGATTGTTGCGCCCAGAAGAAGTTGCAATTAACGACGAGATGAGGAAAAAATCGCTTTGGGCACCCGAGTTCGAGACTAGCAAATGGGTATACTTTGGTTAAGCGGAACTCTATACTCGTGATGGTGAACACAGGGTACAGAGCCTCACGGACGTTTGTGAAGGAATGATGTGGATAAGACGTCTAGTGTGAGAGAGGGTAGGGTGATATACAGAGTGACGGAGCTGCTATTGGCGCCGAAGTGAGGCTGATAGAATAAGTACGATCTGGGAATGATGGTGTTGAGGTGTTGAGGTGTTGCTTTTGGTACTTGAAGCTTTCGTGGAGAACGTGTGAACGTCTGCCTGCTGGTGCTGGAAAAAGAACAAGGGGGGACCGAGAGGCTTACTTCTACGGTCTAAGGACTTTGCTATTGAAGGAATTGTGTAGGCAGTACTGGGGTTGCAATTGGCGTGTTCCAGAGCGGTGCTGCTGGTTGGTGGCGTGAGAGCTGGGCAAGCAGTGGAAGTGCTATCAACGGGACGGCAATGCAAGGGATGGGAGAGCTTGGGATAAAATGCAGAGAGAAGGCTGCAGAAGACTGGAGACTGAACACTGGAGACTGACGACCTTTGTGTGTACTGACGGGTCGGGAATACTCCGTAAGTGATAGAAACACGCCAAGGCCGAATTGTACCCAGCAGCGCTTATTATGGTAGACGCGGTTCCTCCGTCTCGTCTCCTTGGAAGGGCGATGGGGGCATTTCGAGCAAGGACTCAAGGAGGGGAGGAGGAGGGGACTCAGGGGAGAGAGAGATGAACCCAGTCTCGTGATCCACGACGATAAGGTAAGGCGGAGGGTCCCCTACAGGCAAGGGCACAGATATAGAGCTATGCATAGTGACACGGGCAGCGGGATTACGAGCAGATGGATGGAGGGGTCATCGTAGGCATCGCATCGATCCCATCCCATCGCAGGCATCGCAGGCATCGCAGGCATCGCAGGCATCGCAGGCATCGCAGGCATCGCAGCGCCTGTTTCCACAGACGAGGTCGCAATTCTTGCCTAAGGTATTAATGTTCGCTTGCCCACGCTCAGCGCTGGCCAAAGTCAATCCTCGAGTCCATGACCATTCATGGCCATTCAAGGACCCGTCTGACAGGTGACAGTTCTTCTGGAACATGGGAAGAACAAGCCCGTGGTTTCATTTTTAGCAGCGCGTGGGCTGGGCTATAATACGCTAGCCTATAACTGTCCTAGGCGGGGTGGAGTGCCATGCCATGCCATGATGCCAGTGCCATTGCCAGACCCATTGGACTACCTACGAATAGAAGCGATAGCATTGCCGTGGTGCCGGTCGAAGTTCAACATATCTATCCTTAGTACACAAAAGAACTCTTCCTTCCCTACGGATACCTCGCTAAGATGAGGATATTGACGGACTTTGATCCGAGTATATATTTAAATAAATCTACCTCAAAATGATATAAATAGTAAAAGGATAAAATTGGGGTGGAATGGATGAGGGTATGAGTTGGTCGTGGAGTGGCAGGTGAAAACAATTTCCATCCAAAGTACAGTGTAGGTACGATGAAGCAGGATGTGTAGGTAGAATGCGCTGGCCATACAGCACAATTCCCGTGGTGTTGGTGTTGGTGTTGATAGAAAGGACCCTGATCCCTCCCCTCACTCAAACAATGGAAGCCACCACTGCGACTGTGACTCTAACTGTACTGTGGGTGCCACCTCGACCCCACCCTCGCCTCGCCAATGCGCACCAACACAGGCTCGAGACTGGCATTGTGACTGGCATTGCGACTGGCATCGCACTGGCATCGCACCTGGGAACGACCGCGAACGGCTCTGGGGTCCCGGGACGTACTCGTAAATTTACTCAAACGAGCCAGAGGGGCAGACAAACAGTGGAGGCAGAGGCATATCAAACGAGCCCTGGAGCCCCGTCGTTGGCTGCCTTGCTGGTCCCTCTCCACTATCCTTCCTGAATTAGATTCGTCGACGACTGCCCAGCTCGAGGTTTGGTTGGTGGTCTGGGTATCTGGTGTCGGATGCCTGGTCTCTCTGATCCATCATGTTCGCAAAGACCATCTTGCATTTTAGAACTCTTCAACTCTCAATTATGTCTTTTTGTTTCCTGTAGGCGCAATCATCTTAACCACAGCCCTGGCAATACAGTACCCGGAAAATCTTGGACCTTGGAAACATCTACTAACAATTGCCTCCACTGCATCCCGCCAGGACCGTTCATCGCTGATATCGCCGCCTTGCGCATTCGTTCCTGTCCCTTCTGACGTGACACCGTCGAGAAACGATACACGGCAACGACAGGAGAGAACTTTCTATAGCAGCTTTGAGCTTGGAATCTGGATTGGCGTGAAAGCAAGGAAACTCGAGTTTATATAAGGAATACCCCTCCCACCAAAATTCGGGATCCAAAAACACCACGCCGATGGACGCACTGGATCTTTTCCGTCGGGCGCAAAGCTCTGTCATCCAGGCGCGAGAGGTGAAACTGCGCGAGAACGGTCATGGTCTGAACAATGGCCATATCCACCTCCACGGGCATCCCCATGGCCATAGCCATGGGACTGAACCACCAGCGCCCCGGATTGCGCACACGTTGACGGCTTGCTGCCGTTGCCGCCAGGTTCGTGCGATGCCTGTTTCCTTTCCGCAGGTGTCAAGCACTGACACACAAGTAGAGAAAGACGCGATGCGATGCGAACCTCCCCCGCTGCGCACCATGCGAACGAGCCGGCGCCGTGTGTGAATACTATGACACCTCCAAGGGCAAGAAGATCTCGAGGACGTACGTGATAAAACTTCAGGACAAGGTTCGGGCTCTGGAAGCGGAGCTCAGCCAGTATACAGAAGAGGAGGGAGGACCCCAGAAGCCCGAGGATATTGTGCGGCCGGGAGGCTTGATTCGATTAGATGAAGACGATGAAACCCCGCGCTTTTTAGGTCCCTCGAGTGGCATCGCGATGACGAGGTTAGTGATGGAAGAGGCTAAGAAATATACGGATTCAAGGACCATTCGTGAACTAGTACCTGAGGTTCGCCAACGTCGACCGCCTATGAAATCTCCAGAATCTGCATCGGAAAGGAAAAAGTCATATCCCATGATCAGTGCTGTGCCAGCCCCTACATTACCAAGTCGCTTGGTAACAGACAAGCTGATAGAGGTCTTCAATCAAAAGGGTAAGTATGCGTGAGTGAAGCATGTTCCAAACATTGACTTACTTTGGAGTAGCCCAGTACCTTGCTCCCACCCTGCACGAGCCAACCTTTGCCAAAGACCTTCAGGAAGTCTACGATGGAAGTACAGACCCCTACAAAAGTTTTGTCTTGAGAATGGTGCTCGCAATTAGCATGCAAAAACTTGATACTCAATATTCTGGTTTAGCCGACAGTTATTATCTCGCAGCCATGGCATACATGGAAGACGTTATTCGTCCCAAGAATATCGACACACTGACATGTCTGATATTGGTTGCACAGTATTCTATGTTGACACCAACTCGTACCGCTATTTATTATATTGTAGGCCTAGCGACCCGCCTTTGTCAGCAACTTGGTTTGGCTGAAGAAAAGACCATCACTCAAGGAGTGTCACTGGGTCTGGTAACTCCCCTCCAGCTTGATATGAAACGACGATTATCGTGGATCATTCTTTCAATGGAATTGGGCCTTGCCCATAGCATGGGGAGACCCAATGCTTTTGCCACCGGCGAAAATCATATTGATGTTGGGTATTTTGAGACTGTTGATGATGAGTTCATAACAGAAGGTGGTATATTGCCTGGTCCTCCTTCTGAAAAGAAATTGGTGGCTATTCATTTCTTCAAAATGAGACTTCTACAAGCAGAGATTCGAAGGGTACTCTATCAAAATAAGCGACCGGAACCAAAAGATGAAGACCATCCCTGGTTCATAGAAATGGAGAGGAAATTGAAAGATTGGCTGGATGCAAGCCCTCAGGGTCCAGCTTCGACCAAAGCCTGGTATCTGTATGTGTATCATTCATAATTCATCAAAGTATGCTAACAAGTCTTAGGTTCACTGATAGATACAACACAATGATCGTCACGCTTCGAAGACCATCACCGCAAGTGCCGAAACCCACTGCGCAATCTGCACTGCTGTGCTATGAAGCATCCGCTGAAAACGTTCAACGTGCAAGCAAGCAGATGCAAACCGGCGTAGCTGACATTACATGGATATTTCTGCTTACAGTATTTCAAGCGATCAACACTATGCTTTGGTCAACTTCTTATCCAGAGGTTCGTGCTATGCATAGTAAGGATGAACTTGAGGAGAATATCGATGTTGCTCTCGAGATCATTGCGAATTGCCGCGAACGCTGGCCGGGCACAGCAGCTGCCTCGGATCTCTACTCCAAACTAGCCAGAGCTTGTCTGAGAAGCTACGATGTGATCCTAGAACCTATCACCCAAACGCCAGCACCAAAGTACATGTCACTGGCGCCATCATCACTGGCAGCCAATTCTCCAGCCTCTCTCACGGATGGCAATTCCCCTGCAGCATCCGAACACTCACTCGCAACCAACGGCTCAATGCCACGCTCACAAGTCCACTTCCAAGAAGCACCTCAATTTGGCGTCGTCTTTAACCAAATGCCCGAGCATATTCCCCACTTCGATTACAGCATGCAACCCCCACCACAACCAGCCTTCCGCTCCAACTCCATCTTCATGTCAGGCACCAGCCGACAATCCGATCGAAGATTCTCCTACTTCCCACCCGACTTTGCACAAACCAACAACCTCGCCAACTCCTGGAATCCCATGGACATCACCGCTTCTCAGTCTCAGGCTCCCGCACACGCACCGCCTGCGATTGCGGATCCCAGTTACATGATGCATCATTCGCCCTTCAGCTTCAACTCGTACCAGTTTGGCGAGCAGGATTACGATGTCCAGATGCGACAGGGTAGTCTCAGTCAGCAGCAGCAGATTGAACTCATGCAGACCCTCGAGACGGATGGCCTGTCAGAGATTGACAGTTATATGAATATGGGCGCGCAGTATGAACAACAACCACCTGCGGGATATCCAATGGGACCGAGTAAATTGCGACGGTGATGAAAGTGAGGTGAGGTGAGAGAGGTTTGGGTTGGTGTATTCCTTCCCTCCCTCCTTCCCTTTCTCATCCTTAAAAGTGAAAATTCGCATTCGGGTTTTTGTGCCGGAGGAAATGGCGTATATACGTTTTATGTTTTCTATGTCTCTATCTCTTTTTCTTTTTCTTTTTTGGTACACTAAAAGGGGTTCTTGCTGCGAAGCTTTGTATCTGGTCATGGAAGGGTTGAATCGGGTTGTTGGATAGAGGTGTGATATTTTTGTACTCGTGTTGTTGGGGTCTTTTGTGTGGATTTTTGGATTGGATGGATTGGTAGGTAGGTTGGATAAAGAAAGGTAGGTAGGTAGGTGGGTATGGGTAGGGTAAGATGGTTTGTAGGTAGGTATCGATTGGGATTGGTATATTATATTATATTATATTATAGAAGTTGATTGATATGATATCTTCTGTATCTGTTTCTTGTTTCGTGTGTGTGACGTTTGGGCCTGGTGTGTGGGGGTTTTAGGTTTGGTTTGGAGGGTGTGTTGGGGTTGGGATTGGAGTTGGTGGTACTAGAGAGTAGGTAAGAGGGGATTGGGGAGTAGGGGATACGTATGGTGTTGTGGATTTTTCAATTGGGGTCTCTTGAGCGGAATGGAATGGAAATGGAGGGGATTAATATTTACTTAGGTATGGATTGATATTTACTTATACCAGCTTACTTACTTATGTACGTAAGTAGAACTTACTATTAGACTATTATTGGGTTGAAAGGGTATTGGGTACTGAAGGTCATGGAGAATTGATTGCATTGTAAAAGGTAGCTATCTAAGGTGTTTATATAAAGAGTGTAAGATTTAAGCAGACATGAAGCATTTAGGCAGCAGAGCTATAAGTGGATCAAATCAGGAAGTGGAGCAAAAGAGAAAGTAGACCCAGCACAACAACTATTATAACCCACCACTATATTATATATACCTCTCTACCCTCTACCCCTCTAAAACGCGTGCCAGTGCTAGTAAATACCTGCACCGGCGTGAAATTCAGCATGCCAGGCCAGGCCAGACTTGGATTTCTCTTTCAAGCATCCAGCTTCGCATAACCTTGGTAGAATGTACATTGTATGTATTTAAAGAAATCTATTTTCTTATATTATATAGCTCCGAGAAGACCTTGTAGTTTTGTTTTATGCTGATCTTTTGGGAGATTGGATGGTGATGGGTTGGGGATCGGAGGGCGTTGGGATGGGAGGTGTAGATAAGGTTGATATTGAGTAGAGTAGAGAAATGAGGTGGTGATTTGTCTTTTTCTGGTGCTCTGACAAGATGGGATTTCGGTGAGGAGTTTGACGGGTTTGCGGTTGTAGACATAGGTGATTTGGTGAGGTGAGGTTCTATGAAGAGTGATGATTGTGAGGTTAGCACGGTATGGATGATTATATAGGGCAGGGCAGGAATGATGATCGCCTTTGCGAGGAGGGGCTTTTGTGGGGATGCTAGGAATTGAGCAGAATTACGGAATGCTTCTATCAAAAGTGAAAAGCAAAATAGTAAAATAGTAAAAAAATAAAAATCAACCCTCTATTTTCTCTAGCAAGTAGTATAGGAATCGTTTTTATTACGAGTATAGTATTTTAAAGGGGTTAGGATAGGATGGTAGGATAGTAGGGTAAGCCCTTGTTTTTTAGAAGTATATTTCGTTTCTATTCTTGTGTCTTTGTGGTGTGTATAATAGGTAAGAGGACTGTAGTAGGGTTGAAGGGTATAGAAGGGTAAAGGAGGAAGAAAAGAAGGAGGGAAAGTTGAGGTGGAAAGGGAGGAGGTCTTTAGGAATGTAGATGAATTCCTTAGAATTTAGGTGTATTCGCCCTTTAATATACGATAGCTTCACGTCTTACCTAGAGCCTCTATACTTTCTTCATTAGCCTAGGCCTTTCCTACTCTACTTTCTCTATCTACTTTCTCTATCTACTTTCTCTATCTACTTTCTCTATCTACTTTCTACCTACTACCTACCTTCCCGCCCTATATCGTCCCTTTACCCCATATATTATAGTACTAACGATTAAGTCTAAGCCATTTACACTTTTTACACGGAAACTCGGTATAATCACGTGTATAAAAAACCTAAAAGGCGGTTAGGAAATATCAAATTATTCATAAAATCCCTTTATCTTGACGTTTCCGTCCTTTCTGTCTCTTCCGATTTTGTTAGATAATATAGGGTATTAAATAAAAAGCGTATAAAGTTGTCTCTTTTTAGAAAAGTAGTATTTTATACTAAATTCGGCTTTCATTCGGTATAAAAATTAGTATGTCTAGAAGATTACGATATATACTAATAAAGACCTTATATATAGCTTAATATACCTATATAAAATTACCAAGAAGGTTCTTAACTATAAGTACCTAAGAGGAATAATAGTATTATCTAAAGTCTGTATATTTATAAGTAATTTAAAACTAGGCAAATCGGCGATTTTTGGTGGGGTTCGGCTAAATGGCTTAGACTTAATCGCACCGACTGTACCAGGGCATCGTGAAGAAGGAGGGGCTGTATTAGGAGTAGTAGGCGAACAAGTAGCAGGATTTGAAAATCTAAGATAGGGTGTACAGGGGACAGGATGGGAGTACTCATAAATTACGTATTTAAGGCTCTTGTAGACTTTAGTCGGTTTTTCTCTTTGACTACTGAACCAAGGAGGTCGTCTGGCGAGAGTTCACCTATTGGTAAAGAGGGATTCGATGGAATTGCGGGGTTGACGCAAGGAAGATGAGATTTCGAGTCACAGATTCGATGGGAGCATTGGAGGGCACAAGATGAATGGGTAGAGATAGGATTGTGCTCCTCGCCCTCCCTGGCGGATTTCGAATTTCTGGGGAGGGCGGGAAATTGAATGACACGTGATTTCTCACCCCCTTACATTCGCTAAATTGCGCGGGCGCCAAAGAAACAACCGATGCCGCTATCTCAAACCCATTTTTCATAGATTTGTTTAACAGCCAACTGAAAAACATTTCTAAATCCTAGGAGGATAAGTAGATCACTCACTCACAAGCCCCATCATTTCCTCTGCGACAAAACCTTGGAAGCGTCTCGTAGAAGAGAGTCCTCGCACATACTCCACTCCCCATCTCCCAAACACAGCGAGTCACACGACCAAAAAACGTGGAAAACAACCGAAAACGGCCACAAAAATATACTCCCCAAAACAGCAGTAACACGAAACCATTCCGTATGTTTGCATCCAACTCTCTCAAGGATATATTACTCTTCCTCGTCTCAAACTCAGGAAGGAAAACCAATCTATTTTATCCGAGTAGCGATTTATCAATATTTTTCAACAACACCACAAACAACCACATAATATACATTTCTAACACCAACAAGATGACAGTAACCTGTACGTCCACTCCCCTCCCCCTCCCCCTCC